ACTACTACTACTACTACTACTACTACTACTGCTGCCACTACTACGACTACTGCTACTACTACTACTACTACTACTACTATCACTACTACTAAGTTACTACTACTACTACTACTACTTCTTCTTCTACTACTACGATTACTACTACGACTACTACTACCAACAAAATTGACAGCATTTATAATTTATAATAGTCAGCAAGCAATTATGATATTGATGGCCGGTCTCTGGAGGCTGGCGAAGCCGAGCTTCATGGAGATGGGTCGCCAGGCCTGGCCCAGTCTCGGACCTTTGCCTGGGACGGTATAGTGTAGTATCGTATAGTATCGTATAGTATAGCAGCATAGTATACTGTAGTATCGTATAGTTCAGTATAGTCCAGTACAGTACAACAAGATGGAGCCTTGGGGTGTAGCATGTACGGCTTTCTTTTAACGGATGCCCTACATGAAGCTCTGTGCACGCTTTGGCGCTCGCTCCATTTCTCCAGCAGCTTCCATGTTTAAATTCGATCAACATACTTAAAGTTGGGTTGAGGGACGCAGTGTGTTAAACGAGAATTCCGGATATACCCACTTCGTTGCTGTTTCTAGCCAATGCACGAACTGCATGCGTCTCCTTCACATTCCGCGAAGGACCTGCATCAGTGGCTTGAACTCGATGTACCTCCTCTATCATGTGCTCCTAAGCGTTACGTAGGAAGTATGACGACTTTTTGGATATCCTGCTTAACGCAAAACTGTACGATTAGTGCTGTGGGAGTAGAAGGATGCTTTGATGCCTACACTTCAATCCCTCGAAGAAAACCTACAACAAGTCCATGAGTTTCATCTGCGGAGTCGTCAGTTGATCAATGTGTGGTTGCCGATTGAAACGTGTGGCAGGTCCTCCTGCTGAGATTGCTGTCCCTTTACGAAACCTTGCTTCTTATTTCGATTGGTTTGACGATTTGACCCACGAAATCATGGCCAGGTACATAACGATGTGCACTGGAACCTGGGTGCCATCTTTGAACAGAAGCTCTGATTGTGTTTTTCGGTGAAAATTATTCCGTATAGCGCTGCTTCGGTTTCTAGTCCCGTTAAGATAGATTGCATCTGCGGTGCAGTACTCTCGACCATAGGTTGCTCCCAGGCACTGATGCCATCCGATGCCGCCGTGGGTTACAAGGATGGAGAACAGCATGAGTGAAAGCTGACGCGCTCCCGCGTGATTTTGTCGCCGTGCCGCCATACTCGGTTGACTTTGGCAGCAGATGGAACGGTGACGTCCCAAAACGAAGGAGGGAACGTAACGGGGGCTTAACCGGAGACACTGGTGAGTTTCTAACGGCAGCGTACATCAACAACGAAGAAAAACCAGGAATCCAACACAAACCGCATTGCAATTGAGTTGATAGTTGCAAAGGGGTTTGTTTAGGGTTCAAGGTTTAGGGAGTTTAGGGTTTAGTTTAGGTATATACGCTTCTGCTTCTTTGTTTTAAGGGAGAGAGAGAGAGAGAGAGAGAGAGAGAGAGAGAGAGAAAGAGAGAGGAGAGAGAGGAGAGAGAGGAGAGAGAGGAGACAGAGGAGAGAGAGGGAAAGAGGGAGAGAGGAAGCTGGAAACCAAACCTTCAAACCTAATCCCAAGACCGGCAACCCTTCAGCCCGAGACCTGAACTCCAAGCCCCCTACACCCTGACTTGCCTCGAGCCCCTTGTACTTACTCTGCAGATCCGGATGCCAATGCCGGGATCCCGGATTTCCGGGCTTCGGTTTTGCGAAAGACGCCTCCATGAATGCTCTCATTTTTGAATTAGGGGAACGCTATTTTTGGAAGAGTGTCTCGGGCAGATCTGCTCAAGAGGTCCGAACAGTAATGTCGGGACTATTGCTTGATGTCGGGAACCCAGCCCCAAGATACATACCCTACAGGATGCTAGGGTAGATAACTAAGACCACTGCCCAGCCGTGGTCCAAAGTGTGGCACGAAGTTGAAGTTCGACAAGCTTCCAAGCGGCCCTGTCCAAACCATGCCCCTTAAAGCCCCAAAAAACTGAAGGCCTTGCTGCGAAGTCTTCTTGGGACCTGGGATTAGGCTAGGATTGTCCGACTTTGGAAGTGTGGAGGGCTTTGTAGGCCAGCTACAGGCTTTCGAGCTTCGACTCCTTCAATCGCAGGCATCACCGAAGCAGAAGCACTCGACCCTCACACTGAATGCCCGGCAGCCGTGGCCTATGCCCCAAACCCTAACATCCCCTAAGACTCGAACCCGGAACCAAGACACCGAAAACCGTAAGACCCTCAGCGCCAGCCAACCCGAAGCCCAGACCAGTCATGCCATGCGACCCGTTGAGGCCCTAAACCCCGCACAAAGGAGCCTCTCGTCTAAAGCTGCCCGAAAGAAAACCCAAGAGGGCCGCCTTATAGGCCCTCAGAAGATCGAACCCCTACGAGTGGGACTTTACCAACAAGCGGAAGGTGAGCAAAGGGCCTTGGGTTGGGGTCTACGGGTTTGGAGAGGGCTGTCGTTGCAAGTCTGGGTTTTTGCGCTTGCGATTAGCTGGTAGGGTCTTTGGCTTCAGGGCTTCAGGGTAGTTATAGGTTTCTATGCGGTTTATGGGATTATCGGGCCATGGACTGCTTTACTTAAGGGTTTGCGGGTTCAGGGTTCTAGTCTTCGGGTTGGAGGGCTCTTCTAAAGTGTGCTACGCTGTTGGCTTTCCAGGCATGTTAGCTTATTGGGTTCAGGTATTCTGCGATGTCTTCTTCTTGAAGCGAAACCTCGTCAGTCCCGAAGCTCTCACACCCTAGACCCCACGCGCCAGATGAAAGAAATTCGTGTGCTCAGGTTTTTGGATTTAGCATGGGTGGGGGGCTTAGACACAGGCGTCAAGAGCTTGCAATGCTTCAGAGATGCTTGCGCAACCGCGGTCCACAACACCCTCGGCCTCAGCCATGGACCTAATAAGACTTAACCCCTGCTTTCTGCAGCAGCATGGTTTAGTAAAAAGGTGGTCCTCGAGAACACGAACCTACAGCCTACAGCCTCAAATAATCCTTCGAGAAGCGAGCCCGCAGCCCAGCCTCGGGCTTATATGTCTCCCGCAACCGGTAACTTGACGACAGGTGAAGTTGACCACGAAGCAGCTGCGGAAGATGTTCAGTCCCAGGCACATCCGAAAAGTATTTGTTCGTCGAGATTTGCTGTAGAGGTCTGCGGTTTCATATGCCCTTTTCTTATGCTTGCTATTGCGCATGTATCACATGTGCCCAGAAGCCGCAGTCGTATCGTAAGGTCTTAGGACCACCGGCGAAGCCCGGCCCGCAACCCTGAAGCACTCCTGCAGCTGCGAAGGCATGAATGTGCCCCGGACATACCTTTAGAGACCGAATTGTGATGGGGCCAGTGTGTTTCGAGTATTCGATCGTGAAGCTGTCAATAAAGGCAGGTGGCTGTACGGAAGACTAGTAAGGCCCGACAACCCTGCAGGTGTAAAGCGCTAAAGCCCTAAAGGTTAAACGCTCTACAAAGCCGGTAAAACATCCCACAATCCCTTTACAACCCTGTAAAACCCTTCAATCTCCGAAAAGACTTCTGGAGCCAGGCAGCCTCCTGGCATCGAGGTCAGCAGCCCGCGGCGGACGTACCGGCGCTGGTCAGAGGAGCAGCTTGGCTCGTGGACTGCTTCTTGTAGGTAGGTTTTTTCGGGGTATTTTAAATGTGAGAGTTTTACTGGGGCTCTATAGGGTTCATACAGGGTTTTCGCGGATTTCGGAGTGGTGGATAAGGGTTGTATAATGTAGACCCCTTTTACAAACCGCCTGTATTGACTAGGACCCCCTTGATGATCCGTGGTGCGGGCCGGCTCGACTGATCCAACCCAATGTTGAATTAAGGAAATGTCTTCACATTAGGATCCCTATGATGATCCGTCTACATTACTTCTCCTTGCGTTAAAAATATCCCACCCTGAACTTGAACAAAGCTCCTTCACAAGAGCCTGCCGCTGAGGTCCGATCCGAATTCGGAGTTCGAAGAGTTGAGCTCCTTCGGCGGTGATCAGGACGGCTTTGTTTGGGGTCGAGGGCTTCGTGTCTAGGGCTTCGAGGGTTTATGGTTGAGGGCTTCGAGGCTTTAGCGTGTAGCTTGTGGGGCTTAGGGCTTAGGGTGGTTTTTGGGTTTTTGGTTGGAGCGGTTTTTCGGATTCTAAAGTTTCGGCTTGCAGAGGCATTAGCGAGGGATTTCGGGTTCGGTGCTCGAGCCATAAGTTTAAAGCGTGCGTGACAGCCACTCGCGGCTAAGAGCGCCTCACGAAATCAGGGCAGGGTCGCTTCAGAATTTCATAGGCGTTGTCCCGGTCCCTACAGCCTCTGTAGAGTTCGAGAGTGATAGTATAGTTTACCCCGAACCCTACTCCAAGGCAGCGACATCCCCGAGAGTCTCAACCCAAACTGCCAAAGCCCGAAGCCCGAGTAGGAAGTATTTTAATACCATTCCTAAAGGCTCTTGATTGTAATTATGCGATAATGCATCCCCAAACCTTGCCCCTATCAACCCCTTGATTAAACCAAGACCCTGAGCCCTAAACCCAAATCACCCCAAACCGCTCAGCCTCAAATTGAGGGATGCCTGATTGATTAGGAGGTTAGGGTAGGGATGCCTGATTGCGGGTCTCTCCAAAGGATCCTGCTACCTGGGCCCACGAATTGAATGCTGCAAAACCCGGTCGCCATTCCGGGATCCGAAGTGAACCGCACGCCGATCCCGATCCTTGGGCCGGGATGTATCCGTTTACCATCGTTTACCCTCGCCGTCCATCCCAAATTCAAGGACACCAGCAAGCCTGATCGAGCCTGAGCCTCTTACTCCCTGGCCCCTCTCTTAAAGCCCGAAACCCCATGAACCTCCAACTTAAGTCAAGCTCTAAACCCCTTGAGCCTCCAATCCATAGGCATCCTAAGCTCCCAAACCACGCTGCATCCTGCAGGAAGACACGTCCTGGATCGATGAGGTCTCGTTTGGCTTCGCAGTTTCGGCTTTTAGAGGTTTAGGGTTTGGGAGTTTCTTAGGTTCGGGTTGCGGCATTATGAATTCGGGGAAAATCTGTAGAAAGGATTTCAGGGTCAGCGTTCAGAGCCCAAGTATCTACGGGGGGTTTTATGTTTAGGGAGGGCTGCTTCCGAGCCGTAATGTTGCCTCCTGATTAGTAACCCCCCCCCC